CCTATAAACGGCCTAGCACAAACACGAGCTGTTCCACAGACACAGATTACAGCCTATAAAAGGCCTAGCACAAACATGAGCTGTTCCACAGACATAGAGTACAGCCTATAGAAGGCCTAGCGCAAACACGAGCTGTTCCACAGACACAGATTACAGCCTATAAAAGGCCTAGCACAAACATGAGCTGTTCCACAGACATAGAGTACAGCCTATAGAAGGCCTAGCGCAAACACGAGCTGTTCCACAGACACAGATTACAGCCTATAAAAGGCCTAGCACAAACATGAGCTGTTCCACAGACATAGATTACAGCCTATAGAAGGCCTAGCGCAAACACGAGCTGTTCCACAGACATAGATTACAGCCTATAGAAGGTCTAGCACAAACATAAGCTATTCCACAGACTACAGATTACAGCCTATACGAGGCCTAGCACAAACATGAGCTGTTACACAGACACAGATTACAGCCTATAGAAGGCCTAGCACAAACACGAGCTGTTCCACAGACACAGATTACAGCCTATAAAAGGCCTAGAATGTAATAAAGCTCTAGATTTATAGGGTTGTTTACATCATCATCCAGATTGTAAAATCAGAAACTGTTATTTTTTTAAAGGAACAATTTCACTGTGTGAACACGATACGTGCACAGTGATGTTTTCCTAAAGGAATAAGTCATGTAACGGGTTTTGATATAATTACTTTACAAAGAATAATCAGGTTGGAAGAACAGTATCCAAAATTGAAAGACCACAGAACTTACCTTTTAAGCTCTATAACAAAATATTAAGATACATCAACAAAACAATATAAATACCTCTTTCGATCTTTCATAGCACTCTCTTTAGCATCTTTTAGGGACGACTCCAGGCACTTGACCCTCTCCATAGTAGCACGCAATCTTTTCTCCAACTTAGGTAGTTCACATCTCAAATCAGCGTTATCCCGCACCAGCTGATTAAAGAAGTTACACTAAACTTATTATCTGTTGGCTAAGTTCTAAGGCTACTTCTAACAAACACAGTCAAGTGAACAAGCTCACATTGACACTAAACTTATTATCTGTTGGCTAAGTTCTAAGGCTACTTCTAACAAACACAGTCAAGTGAACAAGCTCACAGAAAAAGTACAGAATTTATAATTTAAAGAGTGATCTATACATATAAAAAAATTTATATTTATTACTTGACACATATACAATGTCAAATTTATTAAAAAATGCACACACTGTGATTATAACAACAGTCAGTAACCATATAAACTGTTAAATAATTGAAAACATTTAACATGTTTAAAAATAAAAACTGAACAAATTATACAGCTTGTATTTGTACAAGAGACATCAGGTGATGAGGGTTAAGTGTTTAGTGTTTCAAGGCTTTATTATATGGTTCATCCCTCTCTCACCTGCTTGTGAACTTTGGTTAACTGGTCCAAGTTGTTTTCCAAGAAAACAATCTTTTGTTTCTGTGCAGGGCTGCCACCAGTATCTTCATTCTCGTCTCCAGCAGCAGACCTTTTCACTCGACTCTGCAGATCTTGGACAAATAATCTACGCAAGTTGTGGAGAGTCTGAAGTTCTTTAGCCTGATATTTAAGACAAAGTAACGTGTGTAAATAAATCTTTAACACTAAGTCACCATGACAATTAATCTTTACACTAATAATAACCCTACTCATATAACTAACTAACAATGCTCTTCAGCTTTAACAATAAAAATCAGGCTACTGATATACTTTTCATATAATCAACAATGCTTTTCATAACTTAAACAAAAAAGAACCACAACAATAACTCATACTAAAACAATATTTTTACTATTGTAGTGACGAACATTTTTAGATATCTTACAAGTCCTGAGTCATTATTTGCTGCCCTTTTGTTTAAGTTGTAGAACGTAAGAATTTCCTACAACAACAAACACGTGACACCGTGTGAGATAATAAAAAAAAACATGGGTTGAAACTAGATTTAGATTTGAAGGATTAGTTTTGTTGATTTATAAATGTTGAAAATTCCAATAAAACATTGTATTGTGGGTTTTTTTTTTACTACACAACTTTGTTAAGACGAGTGTATTTTGGATAGTTGAAAATTTAGAATAATCTTTGAGATCGAGTTCAAGGTCTCAAACTACTGATTATATTAATACTTCAATTAGTTTAGTTAAACTACACAAATCCAAAGGAAAGACAAGACAAATTTGATCAACTAGTATGGCAACACACATCAAAATATGAATAAAGATAATGTGATCACTTACCACAGTCTCTTCTAACCCTTTCAGGTCTTGTCGAGCTTGTTCCTGCCGATCATTGAGTAATCTGTAAATAGATGGACAAAGAGAAGTCAAGCCTAAAGCAATGAAAAACTTAAAGCTACATACAAGGATAACTCAAAAGTAAACACACACAATACTTTTTGTCTTGCTAACAATTCAAAAAAAGCAGATACAAAAAATTGTATCACATGTATATTCTACTTTATGATATGCTAAGTCAGAATGTTAGGCTAAACTTTAGGGATTGTTCTTTAAATACCATAAACCTAACATTAGAAACAAGAGAAAGTATATTTTGTTAAAACAATTATAAAAACAAAGACGGATTTGCTAGTATTTGACTTAAACTGTAGTCAAAAACAAGATATTATGTTGACTTGAAATATCACCAGTAGAATAGAAAAAAACGTGTAAACACAAATACTTTTATATATAAAAACTCCTTACGTTAGTTCTTGAAGTTTCTGGCTTTTTTCTTGTTCTTCTTGTTTCAATTTCTCATATTCATTTTGTAACCTTTCCTGTGCTAAGGACAACTTCTGGTTTATGCTGAGAGAGGTAAAAATAATATTATAAGCACTCAAAAACTGAAATAAACAGGAAATACAATTTTTTACATAACACTGGACATTTGTTAGATATCTGTAACATTTATTTATGTCAATATATTAATGAAGTAAAATAGAACCAAATCATGAAAAAATGGTCCTTATATCCAGGTAAAACATTTTCCTAAATGTACAGAAATATCCATTCTACACAATCCTTAGAGAAAGCTCGACAATAAAAACTGAAAGCAGACATATTTTAAACACTAGCATACAAAATATTGAATAGCATTTAGCTTTATTCCATGATCGTATTATCTAAAATTCACTCAGTCGGCACTTCCCACAAAAGCAGCTTATTCTTCCTAGAACTTCCTTGAAAAGTAGTTTCTTCAGATAAAATTTAATTATCACGTGAGAAATTATGTTCCTGTTCCAGCATACCATTAGAATAAAATACTTAAAAAATCAGCCAACACTGAAGTGGACATAAAAGTAAATTATTGTTTAAAACTCACAGCATGGGTTCATAAATAATTAAATAAAATTACCAACAACTGTACATTAAACAATATTTATAAGTTACTTGAAACAATTTTACAAAGTAGGAATTAGGCAACTGTGTAATCCACTTCGCTCGTCTATGACTGAAACCCTTAATCTCAAATTTAAATTATATAGCAAGATTATTACACAAACAAGAAAGTCAAGTTATTTTTATTTCTGAATACATACATGTTATTAATGTCTAAATTCAAATAACAATAATCTAGAAAGAAGCAAGTTTCCAACATTTTCGAGTAAGAAAAATTTTGTCTCAATAAGTATTACTTAACTCTGTACTCTGTGAAGCCAAATTAATGTGATAGTTTAGCAATACTTACTCCTTCAGTTCATCAATTTGTTCTTGTTTCCCTGAAACTTCATTTCTTAGTGTCGACAGCTGTTTCTGGTGGGCATCTCTATGTTTTTCTATCTGCTGTTCTAGTGCTGTCTTCATCTTCTCAGCACTATCCTTCTCCTTTTCTTTCTCCTTTGAAGCCATTATGTGCATTTCCTCTATAGAGGGAATAAAAAAATTTGTTTCAGATACCAATCACAGCGAAGGTAATATCACAGTACGTTTAATCTAAAACATTCCTTTCTCACTTTTGTCTAAGTTGTGTGTTACCTTCCTACTCAGGATTCTTTACTCGAGAAAAACTTACATACACGTCTGTCTAGAAAACTGAGTTCAAAAATGTTCCTTAAATGAAGCTGAACATCATGGAATAAAAACAAACATTTAAGTGCAAGTACTAAGACTTTCTAACAAGTAAAAATAAATCTAGTGAATGAAGAAAGATGTATAATTAAACTTAATTCATCATTCTTGTAAGATATCCAATATCAAACCATTTTTTCTTGAGTCATCATTCAAATATCCAATATCAAACCATTTTCTCTTGAGTCATCATTCAAATACCCAATACCAAACAATTTTCTCTTGAGTCATCATTCAAATACCCAATACCAAACCATTTTCTCTTGAGTCATCATTCAAATACCCAATACCAAACCATTTTCTCTT